GTCGTCGTCATCGTCAGAAGAGGAGGCAGAGGCAGAAGATCAAGTCAAGCCTGTCGAATCGCCTCGCAAGCACACACCTGCCAAGGAGGAGGACGAGATGGCGGACGCTACCACCAAAGACGCATCCTCTGCTGCTGCCAAGTCAAAGTCTCCCGTTCAACCCGAACCGGAAGCCACCAAGGAAGACGAGGATGACGAAGCTTCCTCTTCCTCCGATTCATCGTCCTCACCCGCGGCCAAGCAACCCTCTCGCACAACGCCTGTCCGCACGCGCCCATCCTCCACGCCACGCGCCAAACCCGAACCCGCTTCTCGCAACACGCCACCATCTTCGACAGTCGATAAAACCGCCAAGCGCAAAACGGCCCAAGTGCTATCCATGCTCCTCACCGAAGTATCCAACCATACGCACGGCAATCTCTTCCATGCCCCCATCAAGGAACAGGACGCCCCCGATTACTACACCTTGATCAAAGCCCCATTGGACATTAAGACTATCAAGGCTCGCATCAAGGAAGGTAGCATTGGAAGCGCAAAGCAGTTGAGAAAGGCGTTGGCGTTGATGTTTGCAAATAGTTTGATATATAACAGGCCAGGGACAGAAGTTCATAGGATGGCAAGTGAGATGTTTGCTGCCAGTGAGGAGATTTTTAGACGGTATGAGGGTACGCAGCGTTTTTAAAAGGGTTTTGTTTAAGAGCAATGATTACTTTATTCATCCTCGATTGCTTGTCAATTTTGTTGTGGTTTAATGTGAGTAGTGCAGCGTCTAGTGTTGAAGATGGGAAGCTCGTGATGTGATGACGTGTGCGGACTTGTGCAGCTGTGATAGTGGCAGAGTGGGGGGGGGAATTGGCCCGGCGTTCGGTCAAATCGTATGACTTGAAAGGGAAGCCAAACAACACGCATGTGAGAACAGAGAGAAAGACACACAACACACACACGCTGCAGAAAGCTGCTGCAAGATCTGCAACACATAAAATGTGAAGCGCGTTTTTTTTTTTTTTTGGTTTTGTTTTTTCTTTTTTCTTTTTTTTTTTTTCAAACGCCGGCTTCTCCTCCACTCTCCGCAGATCAATGCCCGAAAAATGGGCTCTCTCTCTCTCTCGCATCACTGCAGCAACAGCGGCACAAGTGGGCTCATGGAAACACACACAAACACGCACTTGACTCCCTCTCTCTCTCTTTTCAGGGTCTAAAAAAAAAAAAGAAAGGGTACAAGAAAGATCGTATCTCGTATGATGTATGTGGCCATAAAGCAGTCTCTTCTTCTACCATTGCCTTTGCTCATTACTTCCACCTAGCTTTACGACCACTGTCCATACCAGCTTCTCAAAACATCCTCGGTATCTTGACAAATTTATTTGTAGCTTTCAAAAGGCGTCCCTTGAGCAAGCTAGCATCTCGCCAAGCACGCGGGCAACCATGGCATCCTATACGAGCATAATACGAGACATGTTGTGCCCTACAACATCCTCACCCTCCTCGTCATCCAAAACACACTGGAATCCTACCACATCTATGCCACTTCTAACCGATCGTATAGTCATCATCACTGGTCCTACCTCTGGAATAGGTTACGAAACGCTACGTCAACTCATACTCTCATCTGCACACGTCTATCTGTTCGGTAGATCGCTAAGCAAACTCGAACAAACTCGTGATACCCTTTTATCCGAATGCACTGCATCTCTTGTAACTGACTATCCTAAAGGCGATCGAAGATATGGTGCATCAGTGGGAAACATGTCGATTATTCAATGTGATTTGTCGGATTTATCTAGTGTCAAACGCGCGGTTGGCGAATTTTTGGAAAAGGAACAACGGGTGGATCTCATCTTTGCAAATGCAGGAGTTATGGTAGGGGGTAAGACAGTCGATGGATACGAGATGATGTTCGCTACCAACGTTTTGGGTCATCATGCACTTTTACGACTTCTTTTACCTGCATTACGTCGATCTTCCACCTTGCTCAATAGCACCACCACTGGAGAAACTCGCATAGTTCTCACAGCATCAGATACGCATCGTTGGGTCAACCATCCTTCGCATGTGAAACTCTCCGCTGACGCAAACAACTCGGCACTTGGTCACATCCATCTCTACGGCCGTAGCAAACTAGGCAACGTCTACACAGCCTCGAAACTCGCCGAACTCTCTTCAAAAGACGGTTGGGGAATCACCGTCTGCTCTGTACATCCTGGTGGCGTGAAATCTCAATTGGGTAGTAGCAATAGATGGTTGACCAGGCTTAAGAATTGGTTTTTGGTACCCGCCACATTGGGTGCTGTGACACAGTTGTGGGGTGCAACAGGGGCAAGTAGGGAGCAAGTGCATGGCAAGTATTTGGTTCCTTGGGCAAGGGTGGGGATGCAAAGTGAATTGGCGAGCGATAGAGAGACTAGAGATGGTGTTTGGGAGTGGTGTGAAGATCAATGCGTTCGACATGGATTGTTGGGCGAGGACGAGGTGATTGCTTGAACGCAAAGAAGAAAAAAAAGAAAACAAGATGGACAAGCAGAGATACCCTAACCACCATAGAGACACTTTTTGGACATTGTTTGTAATCTCACACATTACATCGTCGAAACTCGTTTCATTTTGGACTGTAGCAAAGTGTTGTGTCTGTTCTAACCGAGTGCTTGCTCTCGAGCACACATATTGTGATGAAAAAGATTCGACAGGAGAAATTTGATTGCGGAATCATCTCGATGCACATCACTTACATCTGTACAAATCTACTGCATGTCTTCGACTGGCATCATCGAGAAGCTACAGTATTCGCCTTGACGTCTAGCTTTGCCCGCTTCTCGTCATTCGCCTCAGCCTGCTGTTCCCTCTCGGCGCTATCCGACCTCTGCCTAGCCACTTTCTGCTCGCCTTGGGTCTGTACATCCTTGATTTCGACCACCTTTGCCGCGACCCCAGCTTTGGTCTCAGCAACCCTCTCGGCACGTGCCCTTTTTTCTTCTTGGCCCATCTCTTCCTCGGTCACTAGAGGCGGTCTAAAATACGGCTGAGCCAACCAGTGTGGCACGTAAGCAGGCCTATTCTCATCCGGCTGCGTCAAGAAACTGACACTTCCTGGCAACGGAGGATTCGGTTGAGTCTTCCATTTCTCCTCTCCCATATCTTTCTCCAATCTTTGCTCCAACTCTTCCACAAACTTGCGGTAAGTTACAATCTTTGCTGCTCCAACAGCTTTATCGTCAAATCTAGATTTACCAAGCACCTCTCGCAGATCGCGATGCACCTCTAGCGCTGGACGACAGAGTCGGAAAAGATGCGCCTTGATAGCACTACTCTGCGTAGGGGTCTTGAGGGATGTGACAATGTCAAGATATTCGTGCGCCATTTTGGGGATCGATGGGAATGGCATTTCCGGCGCCAGAGGGAACATGGGGCTCGGCTCCTTCGGCAAGGTATGCAGGAAGATGGCAGGGTTGTAGAGGTTGCCCTCGGCACTCATGATACCGTCGGCCCGCGTGGCCGCCATAGCGTCAAAGTAGTCTTGTGGGTAGAGCACGTTTCCATTGGCAAAAACGGGGACTTTGACAGCCTCTTTGACTGCTTTGATCTTGCTCCAATCTGCCAAGCCTGTATGGTGACCCTTCATGTTACGTGTACGACCATGGACCGTGATGATTTGTGCACCTGCACGTTCGAGAAGCTTGGCGTAGGCGATGGTCTTCTCGACGCTCTCGTAGACCCTCATCTTTGCCGTGACCGGAATCTTGAGGTTGATATGCAAGATGTTGATCAGCGAAAAGATTAGAGGCCAATCTTCCATGAGATACGACCCGTAGTGACCTCTCCTCGCAATATGCTGTGGACAACCCAGATTCAAATCCACTGCGTCGCAACGATCTTCCACCACCTGTGCCGCTTTCAGCAGCGTAGTTGGGTCATTGGCGCAAAACTGAACAAACAGCGGTCGATCGGTATCCTTCGAGCTTCCTTCACCTTCAGCCGAAAGAAGAGTGTCAACAAGGGCGAGGGCAGATGCGCCCTCTTCGCAGTGCTCCTTGTTGAAATTGACCTCTTGGTACTTGACCTTTTTCTTCTTGTGGTTTTCGTCGGCAAACAGTTTGGCGTTGATCATGGGAGTGTAGACGAGATCCGAGCCATAGCGACGGGAGAGGATGCGCCAGGGAAGTTCGGATTGGTCCACCATGGGGGCTACTACGCGAGTGGGTGAGCCGATGGAACGGTAAAATTCCCACGAGGCAAGCTTGGTGTGCTTGGGCTCGCCGGTGGGTGGAAAGGAGGTGAGGTCCGGAATCTGGAAGGGTCCGACCTCGGTGGTGGGGGCGACGGCTTCGGGCATCTTGACGATGATAGAGGTTTGGAATGCCCGAAAGGTTAGGTAAGAGAGTTGTGGCCGAGTTTCGAGCTGTGTGGGCAAAGTAGATGGCGCCGAGCGAAGGGCTCTCCAAGAGCGCCAGATGGAGGCGATTATGGTGTGTGCTATCCTTGGCTACCGTCTGTAAGAGCGACGGTGTGAGAAGCAGTGGTGATACGGAGCAAGTGATATGGAAAGTTGAGGAAAGGAAGGTGGAGCACACACAAAGCTCAAATCTGAAATCTTCCCAGCTTTCCATACAAGACGTGCATTTGTTGGAAATTTGAGTTTTCGGCCTTCGCCGTAAGATGAGTCTTGGAGGTGATCTGACGATCGGGGAACACGATGCCCGATGTTGCACACTAAGTCCTCCAGCTTGATGGCGACATCACTCTTTCCTGGTCTGTTTTGCTCCGTATAGCGCCACTGTTGGTACCTCTCCCCCATTCATGTGGTTAGTCTAGACCAGATATAGATATAGGGTCACACTGTCATCGTCTTGAAATGTCAATGAACACAGGATGCGCCCATATGATGCCTACTTGGTAGAAAAGAAAATAAGAGCCTGGGATTTGAAAAAAAAAAAAAAAAAAAAAAAGATGCAAAAAAGGCTGATCGAGCCGCTTGATTACGCCCAAAAAACAAAAATAAACAGGAATGGAAACACAGGGGATCGAACCCCGGACCTTCGCTTTTCCGGACCGCGAACTTTGGGAGTCCTAGGTATGCGGAAGCGACGTCATACCACTAGACCATATTCCCCTCGATGTGCTTAGGAGGCTGGGCATAAGCATAGATATCCTAACTGCAAGTAATCCAATTTCTTTGGCTGCCTTTCTGCCTGCACCAACATTGCAAATCAACGCCGCACCCGAGACTCCACGAACGACCAAAACACCACATCACACAATCGCACAATGCGAGATGGTTCAGCGAGTATATGATGACAATTGATCAGAAGAAAGATCGAAGAAGAGAGAAAGCAAGACCCCAAGACGTAAAAGATGAACTCCAGAGACGGTGTATAAGAGTACAAAAACAATGGAAACAAAGATGGTATCGATCGGACGAATGGTCTGAGGCAGATGAGTGTAAGCGCGCCAGAGAGAGAAGGAGAGATATGCGAAAGAGGGCGGGAAATTTGCATATACAGTGTATGGGGGAGCAAAAGGATTATAACAACAACTAGATGCGGTGCGAGTATTACAGCAGAGAGTGTGTCGGCGGGGTAGTAAAAGGGATGATCTCTTCTTCGCCTTCTGGATGAGAAAAAGGTTACGAGCAGAGGATTGCCTTTGGCGACCAACGGTATACGAGTATCTTGACCGTATGATACACAAGGGGAAAAGGGGTAGGATGCACAAGTGACTTTGAAAACGGAAACAAAGACCAGGGGAAAAAGGGAGACTATGTGTAGAGAAGAGCGTGAAAAGAGCCTTGGTGATCACAGCGACATTGCCAAGATGGTCGTCATGATGAAAGGGGAGAGGGAGAGAGAGAGAGAGAGAGAGAGAGAGAGAGATCGAGAGAGACTCGTGGTGTTGGCAGGACATATTGAAGAAGTGACAATGAAATCATATCACTCATCTTCGTCGCTGGCGGCGTGAGTCGTAGCTGTGTTGGGCTCCGCATTCTTGCTCACTTTGTCGACGGGAGCAGCTGCGTGCAGACGGTTCCACTCGTCAAGCAATTGTCGTCCAACGCCTGGCTCGAGTTCGGTACCGTCCCGAGACACCTTGACCTGGCGGTTGTCTCGCCAGGGGTTGCGGAGCTTCTTGACTCTTTGGAAAGGAAGCGGATCGGTGCGAATCCATTCGACACGGAAGGGCTTACCCCACGAATCCGAAGATGACTGGCGAGGTGGTGTTCGCTCATCGCCATCTCCTCCGCCGTGCTCGGATCCTCTGGCAGTGACGGTAGCGTCCGTGTCATTGGAAGAAGACCGAAGCTGACTTTCGAGCATCTCGGCCTTGCCACGTGATTCCATCTCATCCAGACGGAGGTTGTGGATGACGGCACGAAGCGCAATCTGCTCGGCCATACGCGGATCGGCAGACGACCACGAAGCTGAATCACTAGGTGCCAGCGACGGCTGGTCACTCTGACTCGAGTTGGTCTGTGCCGATTCGGTCTCCATGTCGACGCGACGCACGCCGTACTCATCCGGCTCGGCAGTGACGCGACTGACGGGCGCCGCCTCCTCCGAGAGGGCCGAAGCGAGTTTGGGACGCTCTGGAGCAGCCTCGGGATTGACACTCTTGGTTGAGGTGTAGGGCCAGGTGCTGGATTGTGCTATGGAACCGGCTGTGCGCGGTGTCATGGTATCATTGCGCTGCGGCGACAAGCCATTGTCGAGACCGACCTCTTCCAATGTGGGTGAGAGAGGGAGAGGAGATGTCATAGGCAGGGCGTGAGTGGCATCTCCGACGCCATTGATGGAAAGGGTGCCAAATAGGCCTTTGGCAGTCTCGATGTCGCGCTTGTCCAGCGTAGGATGGGACCGTTTGGTGCTCGAGTCAGAAGGCAAGCTGACGCCAGACAGATTCGGATTGACTTCGCCCATGTTCTCGTCGGCAGACTCTGGAATCGTGCCTGGCGTCACACTGCTAGACGCGGCCGACAGCACGGAAGAGAGACTGGCTCGTCGTCGCTGGTCGTCTTTGGTCTTGGCCTCAGCCGTGGGTGTATGGATGGGACCGGCCATCTTGGCGTAGCCATGAAATTGGCCTGTCTGGTTGACACCAAAGATGAGATAGACTGTCTCGCTGTTGCGGTAAGCCTGGTCCAGCACATTCTCATTGTGAGGTTGTGTGGCCCAGTAGCCCGTCTCGATCGATCGATCAAGGTCGTCGCTGCGCAGACTCTTGAGGATGAAGAAACGATGGCGAAAAGCGGGATGACGGAAGAGCGAGGAGTTGGTCGAGGTATACGAAGCCGAACCGCTGGAGCTGTACGAGCCTGCCGAGGTGAGACCAGCAGCATTCTGCGTCGTATCTTTACGCGAGGGCGACATGGGCTCGGTGGAAAGATGCGTCGGCGATTCGAGCGACGATGGGCCAGCAGGGATCGCTCCGCTGGCATCCATCTGGGCACGCTCGAGCTCTCGCTGCTGTTTGAGCCAGGCAACATGAATGCCACGACCACGCTGCCCTGCGACACCAGCTTGTGCCTCATCGTCCTTCTTGCGGACGCGACAGACGAGCTTGGGGCATCTTGGGTCACGAGGGCGCACCTGCTTGCCGTGGAAGTATTTGACGGCTCGGTCGAGATGAGCAGGGCTTGCGTAGTTGACAAAAGCGCAGTTGCTGCGCGAGATGATGAAGATGGACAGGACGCCATGGCCGTCAATATCAGCATCACCGAGCTCGTCGGCTTGCTCTTGAGCTTCGGATGAGGCAACCCAATTCTGGTACTCGTCAGGCGTCAGACGTGAGAAGACCTCCCAGAGCTCTTCCACTGTCGCATCCTGTGGCACGTTGCCGCACCAGAGCACCCAATCGGACCGAGGACCTTGCTGTGGATGGTAGTGAGGTCGGAGTCCGCTACCCGGGACGCGTTCAGCATTGATCACATCATTGGGACCGTCTGCATCAAAGTCCGCATCCGCCTCCGAAGCTGGGACGGGGACGCCCAAGACGGCAGACTCCTCCTGCGCTTCCTCTCCGACCAAGTCGAGAGGTTGCGATTGGAGTGTGCCAGCTTCTGAGGCATTGCTCTGGGCATCGAACGGAACAGCCGAGGGACGGTGTGGCAACGGAGCACAAGCACGATGAGGCGAAGAATGATGTCCAGAAGAGTTGGAGCTCGTTCTTCTTTGTGCATTTCCTGATCTTCCAGACTGATTCGACTGCCGGCGACTGCCGCCTCCAGCAGCATTATCTCGGACGACGCCGGTAGGCTGCATAGTACCTTGCGGGGAGCCAGACCACGAACCTCGACCAGGTGCCACAACGTGAGTGTGCGAGTTGTGACCGGGAGGCGGTCCGTAGTGACCGGGATGCAAATGGTACGGATACGACTGCGTGTAATTTGTCGAGGCTTGTATGCCGTATCCTGGCGTAGTTGGAACCGGACCTTCGCCGCCATAGGACTGTTGATATGATTGATGAGAAGACGAAGCGGTGGACGCGGCCGAGACAGCTGAAGAAGGATAGTAGGCTCCAGGATAGGGAGCATACTGTAAATGGGCATCATCGGGAAGATGAGCTTGCGGAACTTCGATAGGGACCCACGCCCACCTCGTGCGTCCTCCTAAGTGGCCAACGGAAGGGTTCGAACTCACAGCAGGGTACGAGGGAGAAAACTGGGAGGTGTAGTGCAAGCCAGACGGCACAACGTCGCGTGGAGGAGGCGCCGATCCGGAGCCAGAGCTTTGAGATTTGGTGCGGCTTGGCGGACGCGCGTAATTGTGAGCTTCAACGTTAGGACGACCCGGGTGATACGGCGGACCGGCGTAAGTATAGCCGTCAACAGGTACTGGACTGCCGTACGATTGGAATGAAGCTCCGCCATGTTGTCCTGGATGGTGGTGCGAGTGCGCATTCATCGATGGCGGAATGTTGTGGTAACCAGATGAAACGAGAGGATACTGACCGGGTGGAGGGCTGGCAATATGGCGAGCAGGTGTGTGTGCAGCTCTGTCCGAGGGCAAAGCGGCGCCAGCCGGGGTCATGTTGCGCCGATCCGCATCACCGAGCGTTTGTTTGCGAACAGGATCGGCACGAGATGGCCGTTGCGAGTTGGCAGGATTGTGTGTCATAGTTGGCTCGGAACGGGACGGAAGCAGCGTCTTTGCGTGATAGTTCTGCGTGATAGTTCAGAGGTCGAGGTTACTGGCGTGTATGGATCGAAGGAAGTCGATGTGGTATGACCTCGTTGATGGACGAGTAAAAGCCGGTAGCCTGGAACGACCTTCACAACCGGTTCGTCTGGGCTATTGAAAGATGCATACAAAAACGTAGCTGCTGAGAAGCTCTCAGTTGCCTATGGGGAGTGAAGTGGTGATACTGGCCGAGAGTGTGGTGGCCAAAGACGCAATATCGTGTGTGCGTGCGTGGTGCTGTTGATGAGTATGGTCGTGACAAGTCGTGATGGCGATACAGATGCCCATAGTGTGTGAGGTGAGGGGTGTCAGAGATGAGCGGCAAAAAAGAGTGGAGCAGATAAGACAGAACAGTTTTAAGAGGGGTTAGCTTCATGTACCTTCTGGAAGAACAAGGAGAGCAGGGGACACTGTAGAGTGGAGGGCGGTGGAGGCCAAGCTGTGGCGAGTAGACAGATTGGGAGACAAGCCAGAGCAGGGAATACGACGCTGAGCCGAGCTTGACCCTGAAACTGATCTCGAGTTTCTCAGAATAGAAGGAGACTGATCGCGGTGATGATCTAGGCACTTCCACCAAGTGAGATCTCCATGACGCATAGTCACCAGATGAGCAGAGTTGTCGAGTGTTCGGCAATGAGCGTACCAATCTAGGGTTCCCCAGCGCACCGATCATGCAGCGGCCAACCATCAGCTGATGGTCACGAAGTCCGACGAACATCCGAACTTCGGGAGTGAATTCCCACGCCTCGCACAGTGGGTACCAGAGCCCGGCAGAGATGCAAAGCGATGCACACGACTTTGGAATCAAGAAGCCAAGAAGAAACTTGCCGAGTGTGTCAGGCCAGCGTCGGTTGCATCGTAGACTGCAGAGGTTGAAAAGAGCGACAGTGCAACAGCGGATAACATTGCACGACCCGACGAGCTTCGGCAGCAGATTCGG